TTAATTTAATGAGGGATTTTGCAGTTGCAAAATCAAGGAGTGTTAGATATTTGTTTTTGGATTGCACGTTGTTGCCCGTGGCATCTCTATTTAGTTTATCTTTACAGTTTTTGTTTATTGAATAAGTCTTTTCTGTTCCTAAACTTTAGGAGAAAGCATTTCTGTTTTATTTTAGTCAGTGTTTTTGTTACTGTAAGTATTATAAATGTATTGCATATTCACAGTCGAATAAATTGAATTCCCACTCATCTTTCATTCCAATTTATATACTCTTCCTCTTTCAGTATTTTATTCTCATTTCTCTTTGTTTTTCCTGCTGTTCTCATTTTTAAACCAACATACTACTACTTGAGATGTTCATACTAGTGTTTAAAATGCTAATGAAGGATAGTGGTACTTCACATTAACATAAACCAATCCTAATGATGAGATAAAGAGAATGCAATAGAGAACACTCTGTCACATTATTCCAACAATTCTAGTAAAGGAAGTAATGTGCATCCTTCAAGTCAAAGTTGGTTCTAATGGATCTTGTATGAACCAAGAAGAATAATGATACAACATGATGAGACATTGGACCAGCGGATTCACTTACAATCCCAAAACATGAGACACTTTCATTGCTAAGATTTGGTGAGGTTAGTTATGTTTTAAATTAGCCAGGAGCTTGAGACACTGAAATATTATTTCACGTGAACTGGATTCTCTTGGCCTTCCTTACACACAAAGAAAATGAAAAGAAAGCAAGTGGGCTTCTATATTTAATTATTAGGAATATGATGAGCATGGTTACTCAAAATTGGAAGTTTAAGTCCCTGCCCCATATATTTTCAATCAAGAGACAAATTTTCTGATGGGATTTCAAAAATGAGGAGGAGGTTCTAAAATACAGTCAACAACTACAACGACAGCCACATCATCAAGGACTTTGGAGTATTTGCGACTGCAGCATGTGTACCTGTGGCAGCATCAGACACAACTTTCTATAATATCAATGATCGCAATAAAGTTGGAACTGCGTAAATTATTTAAAACCGTGTGGCACAAAAAGTATGACTATGGAATGATAATTGTGAAAACCCCTAAAGATAAACTAATAGGACAGGGACTTATAACGGGTCTTCAGATCCCCAAATGGTCACTGGCAATGAGACTCAAGAGGAAGATTATCCCCCTGAAGCATAGTAGTTGAATCGCAGGACGAACTTATATTTTGAATCATAAATTGTTTTTGTGTCATGATTAGTAACATTCATAAACATTTACAAAATGTAACAAATACTTAAATTATAAGAACTATAAACATGCAAATATATAATAAATAACAACCACAGTAAAAAAGAGTGGTTGTATTTGTGGATTTACTTTGCTGCAGCAACATGTGTTGTTGAGGAGTACAAGGGAACATTTAAGGGATCACCACCATGGGTGATGGGTGTAGGTGGAGAGGAGACATTGTGGCTGCGACTAGACCATTGCTCGAACCTCACCATAGTCTCTCTAGTTCCATTAAAATCTAACGAAAAAACCCCTCGTTACACACCAAACTAATTTTGCATCCAAACAAACTTTACCTTATGAGGCCCCACAAAAAACAATTAGTCTAATAAAATGAAAAAATTAAAACCTTTTTCAGAGTTAATTTCTCACAGCTTTCATACATACCTGTTCTCCCCTGATCATCCATGGAATCAAGAGGAACCCCACTTGCCTCTAAGCTCTTAACATCATCCATGTCATTATATCTTGCAGCCTGTCAAAAAAATCATCAACACTCAACATAACAATTAATCATACTTAAAACTTAAGCATGCAAATGAACTTAATTTAACTTCATTTAATTTAATTTTGTTACATCAAGCAAGGCTTCGACGCTCTCTGACGTCGCTTTGGAGGGCGCTTGAAGGGCTGTGTTGGCCTCCGCCACACCCATTTGCAGTGGCAACCCTAACTTCAACCTTCGGCTAAGATAAATGAAAAGAGCGAAAACATGTCAGGGGTTGTTTAAACTGTTATCAAGGATACTCATAGGGGTTTAAACTGTTATCATAGGTTACTTAAAGCGGTTTAACCGGTTATCATATGTTACTGGTGATTCGCCGAAGGGCTACGTGCGCGGAGGTCAGGTTAGGGTTCAATTACTTCTCTTCTCTGCCAGCGTCGAGTGAGAGAGTTCAGCGAAAAGAAAATAGTGTACCTTGAAGGAGATTCGGCAGGGAAGAGGTTCGGCAGGGAGGAGGATCGTCGTCGCAGAGGTCCGTCACCACGGCGGAATGCGGAGGAGTGCGTGCGGCAGCGATTGCTCTTTAGGGTTCGTACTTTTCATTTGGTTCAAGTGGGAGAAACCGTTTAAACATTCTATTTGAAATATACGTATTTGACATATTCCAAATGTTTATATATATATATATATATATAAAATACNTGCCTGAAAAATGTCATTGCCAAAACAGATACATTTCAAGGACAAAATCTAAATTAATTTCAGAAAAAAATAAGACACTGCAAACTAATTTTACCCTATCCTTCAATCACAAAATAACATTTATGTTAAATTTGTTGACTTTTACAATCATTACCATAAAAGTCATGCCAATAGCGATGTATGATTCAATGGCAGGGTAAAACTATTTTATGTTGTCCGTACATGAGCATTGTACTTAATTTTGGAACTTTGTTCTACAATGGAATTGAAATTTTAATTTGAGATACATTAAACTTTCTTATAAATCTTTATCAGGAAGATTATTGATATAAGACTCCAACTCTAATTAAAGAACATCAGAAGCATTTAAGAAACTATGTCTAATTTTTGTCTTATAAGAAACTCACTGCATATCTTAAAATTCTTGAGGCTACGGTAATATAACAAACCTGTTTAAAACACCGACATTAGCTCCAGCTAATATTAGTTTCTTGACAACCTGAAAGGTATTCCATGTCAAAGAAAACCATGAACTGTAAAATAAGATGTCACTGAACGAACACGTTATTTACCTCAACATGCCCATTGAGACACGCCCAATGAAGAGGTGTATTTTTTTCCTCATTAGGTGCATTAAGATCCTGTTCACAAGCACAAGCACATGCTTTATAACCTCTAATATGATTGGATGTTTGGAAGTGAGAGACAGAAAGGTAGGTAATGGTCAATGAAATCAGACAGTGAAACTTCATCAAATATAAAATGCTAGAACAGATTTACTCAAGGAATAAGTTGGTAACGGCCAGCGATATGACTTGATATCAGACAGAAAGCGTCTACTTCTACTGTAGCAATCAACCAATGGCTCTCTCTGATCACAAAGTTAAGAAAACCATATGAGAATGTTTGAGAAAAAGCCACTTACCACTCCTCTAATGATTAGATACTCCACAATATCCACATGTCCATTAGCCGCAGCCATATGAAGAGCTGGATGCAAACATCAGAGGAGCAAAGTCAAGCCCACTTGTACAAGATCTCATAGGTAAATTATTTCTGAATTCAGGAGGAGAGAAAAACTAGAAAAGCAAAGGAAAAAACATGTCTATTTGCTGGTGTTTCTCAAACCATCTTCACAAGACTTATGACTCTTAAATCAGCCGAAGAAATTTGGGATTATCTAAAGGAAGAGTACACTGGAGATGAAAGAATAAGTAGCATGCAGGTGCTTAATTTAATGAGGGATTTTGCAGTTGCAAAATCAAGGAGTGTTAGATATTTGTTTTTGGATTGCACGTTGTTGCCCGTGGCATCTCTATTTAGTTTATCTTTACAGTTTTTGTTTATTGAATAAGTCTTTTCTGTTCCTAAACTTTAGGAGAAAGCATTTCTGTTTTATTTTAGTCAGTGTTTTTGTTACTGTAAGTATTATAAATGTATTGCATATTCACAGTCGAATAAATTGAATTCCCACTCATCTTTCATTCCAATTTATATACTCTTCCTCTTTCAGTATTTTATTCTCATTTCTCTTTGTTTTTCCTGCTGTTCTCATTTTTAAACCAACATACTACTACTTGAGATGTTCATACTAGTGTTTAGAATGCTAATGAAGGATAGTGGTACTTCACATTAACATAAACCAATCCTAATGATGAGATAAAGAGAATGCAATAGAGAACACTCTGTCACATTATTCCAACAATTCTAGTAAAGGAAGTAATGTGCATCCTTCAAGTCAAAGTTGGTTCTAATGGATCTTGTATGAACCAAGAAGAATAATGATACAACGTGATGAGACATTGGACCAGCGGATTCACTTACAATCCCAAAACATGAGACACTTTCATTGCTAAGATTTGGTGAGGTTAGTTATGTTTTAAATTAGCCAGGAGCTTGAGACACTGAAATATTATTTCACGTGAACTGGATTCTCTTGGCCTTCCTTACACACAAAGAAAATGAAAAGAAAGCAAGTGGGCTTCTATATTTAATTATTAGGAATATGATGAGCATGGTTACTCAAAATTGGAAGTTTAAGTCCCTGCCCCATATATTTTCAATCAAGAGACAAATTTTCTGATGGGATTTCAAAAATGAGGAGGAGGTTCTAAAATACAGTCAACAACTACAACGACAGCCACATCATCAAGGACTTTGGAGTATTTGCGACTGCAGCATGTGTACCTGTGGCAGCATCAGACACAACTTTCTATAATATCAATGATCGCAATAAAGTTGGAACTGCGTAAATTATTTAAAACCGTGTGGCACAAAAAGTATGACTATGGAATGATAATTGTGAAAACCCCTAAAGATAAACTAATAGGACAGGGGCTTATAATGGGTCTTCAGATCCCCAAATGGTCACTGGCAATGAGACTCAAGAGGAAGATTATCCCCCTGAAGCATAGTAGTTGAATCGCAGGACGAACTTATATTTTGAATCATAAATTGTTTTTGTGTCATGATTAGTAACATTCATAAACATTTACAAAATGTAACAAATACTTAAATTATAAGAACTATAAACATGCAAATATATAATAAATAACAACCACAGTAAAAAAGAGTGGTTGTATTTGTGGATTTACTTTGCTGCAGCAACATGTGTTGTTGAGGAGTACAAGGGAACATTTAAGGGATCACCACCATGGGTGATGGGTGTAGGTGGAGAGGAGACATTGTGGCTGCGACTAGACCATTGCTCGAACCTCACCATAGTCTCTCTAGTTCCATTAAAATCTAACGAAAAAACCCCTCGTTACACACCAAACTAATTTTGCATCCAAACAAACTTTACCTTATGAGGCCCCACAAAAAACAATTAGTCTAATAAAATGAAAAAATTAAAACCTTTTTCAGAGTTAATTTCTCACAGCTTTCATACATACCTGTTCTCCCCTGATCATCCATGGAATCAAGAGGAACCCCACTTGCCTCTAAGCTCTTAACATCATCCATGTCATTATATCTTGCAGCCTGTCAAAAAAATCATCAACACTCAACATAACAATTAATCATACTTAAAACTTAAGCATGCAAATGAACTTAATTTAACTTCATTTAATTTAATTTTGTTACATCAAGCAAGGCTTCGACGCTCTCTGACGTCGCTTTGGAGGGCGCTTGAAGGGCTGTGTTGGCCTCCGCCACACCCATTTGCAGTGGCAACCCTAACTTCAACCTTCGGCTAAGATAAATGAAAAGAGCGAAAACATGTCAGGGGTTGTTTAAACTGTTATCAAGGATACTCATAGGGGTTTAAACTGTTATCATAGGTTACTTAAAGCGGTTTAACCGGTTATCATATGTTACTGGTGATTCGCCGAAGGGCTACGTGCGCGGAGGTCAGGTTAGGGTTCAATTACTTCTCTTCTCTGCCAGCGTCGAGTGAGAGAGTTCAGCGAAAAGAAAATAGTGTACCTTGAAGGAGATTCGGCAGGGAAGAGGTTCGGCAGGGAGGAGGATCGTCGTCGCAGAGGTCCGTCACCACGGCGGAATGCGGAGGAGTGCGTGCGGCAGCGATTGCTCTTTAGGGTTCGTACTTTTCATTTGGTTCAAGTGGGAGAAACCGTTTAAACATTCTATTTGAAATATACGTATTTGACATATTCCAAATGTTTATATATATATATATATATATAAAATACGTATCTAACTCAAACCTAACCCATATAAAAAAGAAAGCACCTCTCTTCTGTACATAAAAAATAGAAGCTATTACTTGTTACAAAAGAAATTTGAACTGATAATATTAGGATAACCCGATATCATTTATAATCTAACTTGTTTTTAATCTAAATATTGTGCAACTTATAACATGGTTATATATATATATATATATATAAGTTTGTTAATTTATATAATCTTTAAAGTATGAAATTTTAGTTAAAAAAAATCCTTATTCATAAAAAAAATACTTTAAATATTGGGTATTTTAATAATTTTTACTTTTAATTTTAAATAAAAAATAAAAAAATAAAAAATTATTCAAATATTTTTAATTTTAAAACTTATAATATACTAGAGTAATTTTGTCAATTAAAATTTGATATTAAGAAGTTACCTAAATTACCAAACCCTATATATATAAATATTTTTATACACACATAACTTAAAAATTCATATAAAATAATATAATTAAACACTCTTTTCATCTTATCTTATGAATCGACATGTAAATGAAAAAGACTTGACAGAGAAGAATCACAGTCAATTGCATCTTGTTTGTAACCAACAATTTGACAATACTCAATAACAAATAATTGCAACCATAACATTTTGGATACCCAAAAAAGGAAGAAAAGCTGTCAATGTACTTCTCTTTGCTTCCCCTAAATATCACAACACAAGAAAAATCCCAAGACTTCCTCTAACAACTCCATCAGTACTTCGTTTTCTTTTACGTCATATTCTACATAACAATAATAATAATAACATTTTTTAAATAATAAAATACAAGCTAATCTTTTTCTAAACTAATAATGTCGGGGTGAGAGAATTATTTTAAAAATATAATAATATGTTTAATTAATAAATATCTAATTTAACACACTACTCTTTTTAAGAGATCTATAAATGAAAAACTAGTCTAGGAATGGAAGCATAAAAGAACTCACCTTTGCTAAAGATGTTTATAATAAAAAAATATTTTTTTTGGGTTAAAATGTTGTATTGATAAATAGTTTGACAAGTAGTTATAAATGAATAAGGTTATAAAATTAGACTCACAGTGAAATTTGCTATGTTTTTATCTATTACAACTTCAGTTAGTCAAAATTGTGATAAGTCAAGTTAGTTATTAGATTATTATGATCCACTTTGTTGATTCTAATCTTAACAAATATTATATATTTTTTAAAACTTACTAACGTACAATAATTATAAATGATAAATTAAATGAAAAATAATCGCTTTCAAAATATATATTCACCTGATTCTATTATCAATAATTTATTTTTACTTGAAGATATTAAATTTTAATAAGAGATATTTTGGAATCTAAATGATATTAATGAAATTAAATTATATTGATTGATTTTTTTAATCATCATAAAAGTATTTATTTTTACATGTTATATTTAAGAAAGTAATTTGTTTTGTTATCAAATGCTCTCAACACGGGTTATCTGACCTAGTCCACCACGCTTGGCCACTTAATTGGGGTTTTATCATGCACCTTCAACTCTTATTTGCATCTCCAAATTTTTATGCAATTTCTAAATCATCCCTATTTAAAACTGTTTAATATTTGAAAATCAAAAAAAGAAAGCGTCAAAGATTCATCTGAAAACAACTTTTTTAATGTACAAGTACAAATTTCTGGACACACATATTTCTTTAAATAAATTAAAAAAAGTTATACAATTTATTTTGTAGCAAAATTAAAAATTAATAGTATAAATTAAATATTTATAATTAAATTATAAAATCAAAAAAATAATATAATAAACTTAAAAATAAAAAAACCAAAAAAATAATATTACTTACAACTACATAATAATTTTTATAATTATTTCATATGAATTTTAAATAAATTTATATTTTTAATAAATTTAAAATATACATATAAATTATCTGTTTAAACATTTATAAATAATATAATTAAATACTTTAAATTAATCTAATAAAATTTTACATTCAAAATAAACAAACTTTTAAATTTTAAAATAATATAATAAAAGATTTTAAACATTGAAACAAAAATTTAATATGCCAAACAGAATTTTTAAAACCATGTAATGTAATCTAACGAAAAATTAAATAGTACAATGTAACAAAGAGTAAATAATATATTAAAAAAATACTTTACAAGCAAACATTTGTAGGTTGGAATACAAATTTTAAAATGTATGCATCCATATCGAATTCCGAAAAATAACTTTTTTTATCAAAACATATATTGGTTGTCCATATCCCAAATAGACAACATAGATATTGAGATTCGAAATTTTTTCTATCGAATTTCATATATATTTTCATACCTCTATTTTTATTTTTCATCAATTTTGTTTATTAAATTTAATAAAATCATACAAATGATTTTTTAACATTATAAATTATTTAATTAAAGATTTATAGATTACTAAAAAATCCTACAAAAATTAAAAAATTTGATAAACTAATACAATAATTAAAAACTAATACAAATAATACAGAATGGAGAGAAATACAGTCATTCAATGAAAACAAATGAAATGAAATAAAGAGAAACACTTAACAAAAGAAGATAGATGAATAAATTAAAATGTGGTGAAAATGGGATGTAGGGTTTCTATACTTCATTCAATGCACATAAAACAAAATTAATTAATGATAATCACCTCATTAGTTACATGGTATTTTGAGAAACTAGAGGTGCAAGATGTAAAGGTTGGAGGTGCAGGATGAAACTCTCATTTAGTGAGTCAATCCAGTCCAACTCATTTATTAGTAAGTCAAAAAAATTTGAACGTTAGTCTACCACTGGTTAGTGAGTTAAACGGGTTGATTCAGTGACTCACTTATTTATAAGTTTTTTTTAATCCAAAAAAAATACAATTTGATTGTAATTTAAATTTAAATAATTTCATTCTCAAAAGATATTAAACTCAAAAATAATTCAAAATAAAAAAAATTAACATAAAACTCAAATGTAATTTAAAAACAAACCCAAAAAGAGAATGAATAGGTTTATAATATTGATAATTCTTGTGTCACTTATTCATTTATAAGATTAGAGTCTTGAATGAATAAATTTATAATATCTTGCTCTCTAAAAAGATCTTTTTTATTATTCTCATTTACAATACAATAAAAAAATGTTAACTGATGTCAGAACCCTTAAAATCCCAAGTTAGTGGAAGCTAGCTGTTGATGTAGGGAATTTGAAATATTCAGAAAGTGGAAGACAGGTGTGAGCAACAGAGTGGACCGTTCGGTTTTGACAGTAGTATTTAAAGAAAAATTTCGAATTACGCTCCACTTTCTGCATGCACCATTTCTTCTTCAACTTCTAAAAGTCTCATTTTCTCCTCATTCTCTCTACAATCTTCTTCTTCTCTCTACAAAATCTTACCCTTTTCTTTTTTCGATCATCATTTAGGCAACGCCTGAGTTTCCCTGGTGCCAAGAGCTTCACTTTGCATCGATCAAGTTGTGGTTTTAAGCTGATGAGTTCTTTCTCTTCTTAGAACGTTCATTTTCTGGCACATGCAAGCCAAGTTCTGGTTGCATGAGTTTAACATCTCATTCTAAGCACACTTTTGGTCTTTTGTTTGGTTTAGTTTCATAAATAGTGACCATACGCTTCTAAGATTTCTGGTGGTGAGATATTCTCTACAAGCTGTGAGCGTTCGGCTAAACTTAAGAGGTAAGGGAAGCTTGTAATTTAATTATGATTTTCCTTTTGTGATTGTTTACTTGCTGGAATTATGTTATGTTTGATGAATTTGGTTGATGTTGAAATACTGCAAGTTTGTTTGGATGTATTGATGATTGATAAAAAGGCATAAACTGGGTAGAAACATAGTTTGATCATGATTCTGCAATAATTTGCAGAATTTTATAAACTGTAACCGAGAGTCATTTGTGACCGTTCGGTTTTTCCTTTGGTGTGTTCGGTCTTAACTGGATTCCCCTTCTAAAGAGAATTTCAGTTAATGACCGTTCGGTCTTCTATTGATAGGTTTGATCACTAATACTTGGTTTAAGTTTAGTTTCTATGTCTACTTAGTCATCAGCCTATTTAGGGTATTCAAATAAGTTAAGTAATCAACATTTAAATCGTTTTCAGTATGTGAATAGATGTTAGGTTGTTTTCGTGGTTGGTTATATATATATATATATATATATATATATATATCCTTTCCTTTTGGTATAAGTTTAGTAGTGTTCAGTTTTGAACTAAGCTCTTGGTCTCGTTAAATAATCTATTATTACTATTTTGGAATAAGAGTGTTCGACCAAACTTAATAGTATTCGGTCTCTACAGTGCTCGGTCTTAGAATAGTACTCGATCTCTTTAGTGTTCGGTCTTAGACTAAAGCTAAGTATTATTAATACTCAGTATCGTACTAGTTCTCGGTTTCTTCATAGTATTCAGTCTGTTACTGGTATTCGGTGTCAAACAATATTCAGTCTCAATAAATGGTGTTCGGCCTAGAGTCTTAGTATTCGGCCTCGGGTTCGTAGTGTTCAGTTTAAACTATTAGGAGTCGGTTCAATGAACTGGTTAAATTGGTAAATAGCGTTCGGTCATGTTAGTTACTAAGGAGTGTTATTCCTTTCGGTCTCGTTCATAAACATGATAATAACGTTCGGTCCTATTCTGCGGATAAGTGAAAGACCGTTCGGTCTTATACTAAGGGTTCGGTTAGCTTAGTCTAAAAGGTGTTCTCTAGTTCGGTCTTGCTTCTAAGATGGAAAATTGTTGTCTTTATTTAGTTTGAATGTATTGATAATGAAGTATGATGGAACTTGGAATGTAATATGAATGAAATAGTATGGATATGAAAGAGTATTCCAGGGAGGAATATCTCATAAATTGTTATTGGATGGTAAAATATGAATGTGGTTATACTTAGCTGACGTTTATCCTGATATTCTATG